CATGGCCATGAGAAAAAAATGGATTTCAAGTTTTGAAAATAGTACATCTTGTAACGCATTTTTTGACCGTTAATTTTCAAGATTTTCATATATATGCTCGATCCATACCATTTTTGAAGCTTTAAATGTTATAATTAGAGGTGAAAATATATTTTAAGACAATAAAAACGTTTTCCAGTATTGAAACCACATTTCTTGACACTATTTAAAGGTGCGCTATTTTACTTTGACTGTTTGGAGCCTCGGCTCTATAAAAACGGCACACTTTAGAAAATTAAAAAGTTAAAACTATTAACAAAAGAGGCATTTTAGTAACTTGATGAACCCAAGAGGTCCTAACCAAATGGCAGGAGTAGGGTGCTTGTTCAGGGGGTGTAATTGCCAACACATTTAGGATTTTCAGCCTTGAACAATGGCAATTTGGGATTTAAATATATTTTTGGAAGGAGATACATGTGCGAAATTAAAATTACAAACTAAAAGCATCTATTTTTAATCGGGATGTTTTGACCCCCTAATGATTTTGTAATGAGTTTTACACTTCCCTAAACTCTTTGATATGTATTTGGGTTTAAGATCTGACGACTATGAATGAAATGAGTTTTACACTTCCCTAAAATCTTTGATATGTATTTGGGTTTAAGATCTGACGACTATGAATGAAATGAGTTTTACACTTCCCTAAAATCTTTGATATGTATTTGGGTTTAAGATCTGACGACTATGAATGAAATGAGTTTTACACTTCCCTAAAATCTTTGATATGTGTTTGGGTTTAAGATCTGACGACTATGAATGATGGATAATGCGGTTTTTTTTTTTTATTCGACATGTTAACAGTGGGAATGTAGGTGCAAGACATTAGCCCCCTTAACCATTGATGCCCCAATCCCTTTCCAAATGGATAATCAGAGTACCTCATGTTATAGTCACTGGGAGTATCATCATATGATTCATTCATTCTAATCAGAAAGTTCAAGAAAGAGCATTAGTGAGGAACGGCCCGGGCCAATGTAGTCTGGGCAGCTAGTGCCATAATATAATGTTTAGAGTTCCATTCTCACCACATCCTAGATCGGCATTGACAAAAAAAAACAAAACCAATAATAGATTAAAGGCCGTAGCATGGGGCGTATAATATTTGGTCCCTTTAATGTAAGGTTTAAAAGCAGTTATGATCCTTTCATTGTGAAGTTCAAAAAGCATGTACAATGGGGACGGTTGATCAGAGTACCCCCCACATTATGCTCATGGGAAGCGTTATATCTCATCATTTCAGTTCATTTACCTGAAGACCATATGTATCACAGGCTTTGACATGTGTCAACATTAGATATAAATAAAATATTAAAAAAACTCTGTAATTAAGTTTGATCAGATTTAGTTCATAGGTAGTTTCTATCCAAAAATCAGTTTGGTAACTTGCATGGTTTGAAGCTGCTTTCTCATCATTTATTTGTATAGCAATGTGAATACTTTCTTAGGCACCACTTCTCCACGACACAAATGTTGGCAAGCGGATTGGTCAAGGAAAATTATTTGCCTAGAAGGAGATTTTTCATGAACCAAATGTATGCTATATTCTAGTATTCTACCTGGTGTTTTAAAACCCGAAGATTCCCAATCCAAATCGCAGATCCGGAGGGGGATTGGTTGGAAGTGGAACTGAACCAGTTCCACGATGGTGTAGGTCTTGATCTGTTTCCCTAAAACAGCTTGCTCTATACTACTTTTTTGGTTAAAATTATTAAAGTGTATTTTCTAAAAAATATATTAGTTTTTATTTTATTTTATCATAAGTGATATAGTAAGGTTGCACTTGTAAGCTTGTGTAGTAGGAAGTTGTAGAACTAATAGGTGGTTAGTAGTTATTGTTGCAAATGGGTAGTTCTTGTAGGAAATATGGTTGTAAAAACCTCTATTTAAAGGGAAGTGTGTGGTGAGAAAATTGGGTCGCATGTGTTAAGATTAATCTTGTGTGTAGAAATTGTAAGGCCTTTGTGTACCCTTGGGCCAATGTGTTAAGGTTAATCTTGGGTGTCAAGAATGTATTGCTTTTGTGTACCCCAATTTTTATCTTTGAATGAAAGTTTTTCTTCCACATTATTTTGGTTGTTCTTCTTCTTTTAATTTGGTTGTGAGTCTTGGGCTAGTATAACATTGTTACACTAATTGAGAAGCAAATTGTTGTGGTATTGTAGCATCCGTCTTTCTCTACGTGGTATCAAAGCCACAAGGGTGGTGGTTATGTGGTCTTCACTCCCTTGACGAAGAAGATTAATTGTCTATTTGAAGATGGATTCAGTGGAAGGTCTAATGGTTTTAATGTTGAGATGGGAACTCAACTTAAAACGGTATTTCTATTTTCAGTTCTTCTTAAATATCTGGAATCTTTGTTTGGAGATCTCTCGTTGATCCTGAAGAACCTATTCGAAGGCACGAATGAAGTAACTTATCATTCGTCAGTTAAAGAATGAGTATATTCCCTATGTTATTTCTATTCAAGGGTGGGTATGCAGACATCCTTGGTGAAGATCGAGAATCTCTTTGGTGCCCATTACATGGTCAGAATTTCAATTTCAAGAAATGATAGAGATGATCGCATATGCATGGTCTCTTTTCTAGAAAATCACTTTAAGATGGAGCGTTAAAATTGTTAAAGCGTATTTTTGGGAAAGTATTGTAGTTTTTATGTTATTTTATCATGAGTGATGTAGTAAGGTTGCACTTTAAGATCAGGCCGAAGAGCTGCTGTTTGGTCCCCTCCTCCTTTATACTCAATCAAATTGAACTTTGATATCAACAGCTTTGGCAATTTGGCAATCCAGGAATGGTGGGTTTATTAGAAATCATTTGGGACATGCTTTGTGCTCATATTCAGGTCCGTGTGGTATTGCTACTGCAAATGAAGCGGATGCTAGATGTCTCCTGGAGAGTTTAAAACTTCTTTAATGGTGGGAAGGGCAAAAGATTATTGAAGGAGATTCGACAAATGTCATACCTTGGAGCCATAAAGAATTCAATATTCCATAGAGCCTTAGAGTATTATTTCAGGAGATTAGGAACATCATTTCTTCCAAGGTGCAGTTGGACATATGCATATGTAGTTGTAGAGTAAGGTGCACCTGCAAATTTTATCATGGTATATAATTTTGATGTAAAATGTTCTTAGGATTATCTCAAAATCTATTTTTATATCTAATTATAAAATTTTAATTTTAAAAAATGGTTAAAATCAAGTAGATCTATAAACATGTGAAAATCTTGAAAATGGACGGTGTAGATAATATGTTGTAAAATGCACTATTTTTTAGACTTAAAATCTTTTTATTTTTCATGGTCATACATCTCGATATTGATATGATCAATC